TATGCTTTTAATCATAGTAGTGCTATAATATAGTTATGCTTTTAATCATAGTAGTGCTATAATATAGTTATGCTTTTAATCATAGTAGTGCTATAATATAGTTGTGCTTTTAATCATAGTATAATATAGTTATATTGTTTCATAATTGTTAACACAGCTTTAAATAAATAAATATAATATTAGTGCTATAATATAGTTGTGCTTTTAATCATAGTATAATATAGTTATATTGTTTTATAATTGTTAACACAGCTTTAAATAAATAAATATAATATAATACCTTAGAGGTGCAGCAATTTGTTGTTAATAAATGAACGTGTGTATTCATAACTTCAGTTGTTTTCTGTATATTGAATATTATAAAGTTCACTTGTAGCCATCTCCATACTGAATTAAATTTGTGCATTTGTTTTTTTATGTTTGTGACATCATCTTGAGGCGTTCACAAGCATCTGATCAGAGCTGCAGGCAGACAGGTTCCTGCAGGTCTCCAGTTCACCACAATGGAGGCTGCAGTGCTGAACTGGACCAAGCTAAACATTGAACAGGTTTTTATGAGGTCAGGAGCTGCAGTGGTGCTGTGGAGCTCTTCATGGAGAACAATCTGCATCTTCAGAGACTGTGAGTCTGCTGAAGATCCTCATCACATCTCCTCTGACCACAGCTGAATCTGAGAGGAGCTGAACACTGAAGACAATCCAGACTTTCCTCAGGTTCAACATCACATCTCACTGCACTGACCATGCTCTACAAGAATCTGGTTAAAACATCCCTGAATTTAACCAGAGTCATGAAGAAATTTGCTTCTCAATAACAGAAGAGCAAAATTTATGTACTAAAAATAAAACACTACATGACATTGTAATGCTGTTTTATTATTGTCATTTGTTTAATAAATACACTGGCGTGATACAACTTAGTACATGTTTGATTGCTTTTTGGGATACGTCTATTTTAGAGTTGTAGCCCAACTTGGAGAAAATGTCACCAGCCGCCACTGGTGATAGTGTTAGCATCAGAGAGGCTAACTTCATCTGTTAATGTTGCATTTTAATTAAATGATTCAGAACATCTCATACAGCCCTCAGGACCTGACCCGGGACAAGACTGACTGAAACCAGAGCCGTTCCAGGTGTGACTGGCAGGTAACTCCTGTGTTTGTGTTGCAGACTGGAGTAAAACGGCCACCAACAACACCAAGAAGGTGAGCTCAGATCACCTGGGCAAGTCCCTGTCCTCCAGCTCCTTCGGCTCCGGAACCATCAACTGGACCTCCAAGGCCAAAGCTACGCTAACACCGTTCTCCAAACGGCTTCGAAACACAGGTGAGACAGACAGGTAATGAAAGCAGACAGGTAAAAGAAGACAGATAGGTGAGAGACATGTAAAGAACCTAGACAGGTGAGACAGACAGGTGAAACACAGACAGGTGAAGACAGACGGGTGAGACACAGACAGGTGAAGACAGACGGGTGAGACACAGACAGGTGAAGACAGACGGGTGAGACACAGACAGGTGAGACAGGTGAGACAAAGACAGGTGAGAGAGAGGCAGGTAAAGACAGACAGGTGAGACACAGACAGGTGAGACACAGACAGGTGAGAGAGAGACAGGTAAAGACAGACAGGTGAGACACAGACAGGTGAGACACAGACAAGTAAAGACAGACAGGTGAGACACAGACAGGTGAGACACAGACAAGTAAAGACTGACAGGTGAGACAGAGACAGGCGAGACACAGACAGGTGAGACAGATAGGTGAGACACAGACAAGTAAAGACTGACAGGTGAGACAGAGACAGGTGAGACACAGACAAGTGAGACAGACAGATGAGACACAGACAGGTAAAGACAGACAGGTGAGACACAGACAGGTAAAGACAGACAAGTGAGACACAGACAGGTTAGACACAGACAGGTGAGACAGACAGGTGAGACACAGACAGGTAAAGACAGACAGGTGAGACATAGACAGATAAAGACACAGACAGGTTAGACACTGACAGGTAAAGACAGACAGGTGAGACAAAGACAGGTAAAGACAGACAAGTGAGACAGAGAAAAATGAGACAGACAGGTAAAGACAGACAGGTGAGACAGAGACAGGTGAGACACAGACAAGCAAAGACAGACAGGTGAGACAGAGACAGGCAAGACATAGACAGGTGAGACAGATAGGTGAGACACATACAAGTAAAGACAGACAGGTGAGACACAGACAGGTAAAGACAGACAGGTGAGACACAGACAGGTAAAGACAGACAGGTGAGACAAAGGTAAAGACAGACAGGTGAGACACAGACAGGTAAAGACAGACAGGTGAGACACAGACAGGTAAAGACAGACAGGTGAGACACAGAC